GCTGTCCTTCGCTTTGGCTTTGGCCAGAAGTTCCCTAATGTGAGATTCAAGCACCGCTTTCTCTGCACCCTCATTCTCTTGTTTGGCTTTTGCTGAGATGGTCCTCAGCTGTTTCGTCGGGGTAGGCATTCTGGAAGAAGTTGGACTGGATACTGATTTTCTGGGGTTGGATGGGCCACGTGGCACAGATCTCTCTCTTGGGACAGCTACTGAAAGTTCCCGTGGAGCTGGGATGTGTGTCCATTTGGTTGTGGCAGCTGTCCCTGGCTCCGGCTCCTCGAGCCTCCCCGAGTGGTTGCCCATCCTTGGCCAACTTGGGCCGCGGCCCGCTGGCCAGCATGAGATCCAGCTTCCAGTGCCCCAGCCGCGCCCGCTCTGCCTCCCAGCACCGCTGCTATGGCGTGTCCTCTCCCAGCCTGCTTGTCTGCTTTCAAATGTAACTCTCCTTAGAGTACTGGATAGGGCTTACTCTTTATTAGGCTAAGCTCCATACTGTATCAAATTCTACTACTATAAGCATTCTTTTAGGACAAATTTCCCCTTTTTTAATACTCAATTAATATCCAATTGGATTATATTTTTCCTAAATATAGATGATGGTAAGAAGAAAGCTGATCTTTTAGATAATAAGAAATAATGGCTAGAAAAGCCAGAAGATGGACTTAATAGTGTTAGCCTAAAGTTAGGGTTTTTGGTATTTTTTTCCATTATTCAGCTATGTCTGGTCTCCAGCTACCTTAACTGCAGACATATGATCTTGCAAATAACCAATAGCTGTGGGACTAGGAGGGGTGAGGGGGAGAAAGAGAGAGAGAGAGAGGGGGAGAGGGAGAGTGCAAGTGAGCACGAGCACTTCCTACTCTGAGCAGCAAGAGTTGAGGGAGACTGGAGCAAGGCCCTGGTGAGAGTGAGACCCTGGTGGTGAGACCTTGGTGATGGTGGTGGAGAGACTGTGACGTTGTTGTGGAGAACCTGTGGCAAGAGTAACCCGAGGAGTCCTGAGATAAAGGCCACAGTTAAAGATTTTGCTGTGCTTGCAGGATAATTAAGGAGAAGATGACTTATAATTGTTCTAAGACATACCTTGCTCGATAATTAAGGAAACCAGAGGCTTTTAAAAATTGTGTTACTGAACTAAAACAAGAGCCTAGAGTTATTGGGGAATGTGTGCCTTGGGACTACTGTGCTTAAACCTGGATTTGCATTGAGTGATATTCTTTGCCAACCCCGTCCCCCCCCCCAACCTATTTATCTGATAAACCCTGTTCTCAGAACCACACCTGTGAGCAAAGTCTGTGAGCTAACAATTAATAAACAAATCTCTTGAAGTTGATGTGGCTCTAGAGTCACCATGGGGCTGGGCTACAGGTTTTTTATCTCCTTTCTGTTTTGGGGTGGTGAAGGTGTGTGCTATTCTTGGCCCTGTGCCCCCACGTACCATTTTCTGCTCCCTAGGAAGAGTTCTTCTGAGTGTGACTTAGCCTCTGCCTTCTAATTCCCTCACAAAAGTGCCAATATGCTACAAAACCTACTAAGTCTCAATGCAGGACTAGACATTGCAACATTGTTAGTCTTTTGAAGAGAGTACTTGATCTGATGGCTAAAAATAAATTCTCTAAACTTGCAAAGAGTTAGCATAATTATGTTTCTAAATATTAACTATATTGAATGAATAGATACATACAATCCCTTGAAGAGTAAGTTAAACATCCTTCCTACAGTTAAATTACTATTACAAGTTTCTCATTGGTCCAACATTCTTGTCTTTAAATATAGATTTTGGCCACAGGAATCTGCCGCACAGATGACCATGTGATCAAAGGAGCAATGGTGTCAAAGTTTCCAGTCATTGTTGGACATGAAGCAACTGGGGTTGTGGAAAGCATTGGAGATGGAGTCACTACTGTGAAGCCAGGTACGTGGCAATCAAGTCAGTCACTCGCTTGAAATATGTCCATTTTTAACTGTCCTTGAGAGAACTGTCACACATTAGGATGTATTAAGGTCACCACTAGACTAATTCGGTCACTATGAGTTGTAGTTGACTTAATAGCACATAACAATAACAGACCAATAGGCAACATCATATTAGAAGGAGAAAAGATTGACGTTGTCAATGATTTTCTATTACTTGAATCCATAATCAACATTCATATTAATAATATCAGCTCAAAAACGTAAAAACATATATTGAGGAAATCTGCTGTCAAAGAACTCTCCAAAGTTCTACAGAGCAAGAACATCAGTATAAAGACTAAGTCCACCTCATCAAACCCATAGTCTTTTCAATTACTTTGTATACACCTGGTAGTTGGACAATGAATAAGGATTACAAGAGAAGACTCATTCATTATCTTTGAGTTGTCATGTTGGAGAAGAGTACTGAATATCCCATAGACTGCCAAAAGTATAAAAGGTTTTGTTTTGGAGGAAGTGCAAACAGGGTAGTCCTTAGAAGTAAGGATGGTGAAACTTGGTCTTTATGTTGTTAGGAGGGGGCAGTTCTTGGAAAAGGACATCATGCTGGGAAAGATGGAAGATCAGAGAAAGAGAGGAAAACCCTCAAAAAGGTGGACTGACACAGAGACAATACCAATGGGCTAGAGTATTTCAGAGATCATGAAGATTGGACAAGGATCAGAACTGTTGTTGAAAAGGTTGCTGTGAGTCATAGTTGACCCCATGACACCAAAAACAACTAACAAGAGATGTTCCAAAAGGTTTATGTTCCAATTCTACAAGTTGACTGCTTACACCCACCCAGTAGTACCATAGAAGAAAATCATAGGGATTTGTTGCTGTCTGTTCACTGGCAACCAACAGTTGCCTGAAGTTATCAGCCAACAGTTACCTGAAGGGGTAGGCACAATGGAGATACACCACTCAGGGAGAGGATCAGTGAGTCGATCCAGCCCGATTTTATTGGGGTCTACAGTGCACTTATATACCATCAAGTACACAGAAGACAGGATAGGGTAGGCTTACCTAGGTGGGACATGTGGATTGGATAGGAGAACCTCAGCCTTGTGCAGACTACTCCCAGCTCAACAGTTGTGGCAACCATCTTCCCAGGTGGCAAGCTTTCTCAAGCCAGTAGAGCCAGACACGGGGAAGCTTTCTCTACCCCATATTAAAGGCCACTGGGGGGCAGAGCTTAGGTGATCTGTCATGGCCAGAGGCCCTCCCTTCCTCTCCAACATTCCCCAACAGGGATCTATTTGAAAGGCCTAGGGATTCATTGAATTACAGCCTGTGAAGAAAACCCGTAAAGCTGTTCTATTCTGTAGTACATAAAGTTATCATGAGTCAGAATTGATCTAACAGCAATGAACAACAGCCAGAATCATCGGACAAAGTTTTTAGACAATTTACCCTTTGCCGTTGACTCAAACACACTCATGGCCCCCATGTGCTTTAGGGTAGAGCTGCATACCACAATCTGGGGAGACCATAGGAACAATTTGGGGAGATAATGAGAATATATTGTAAAAATTTCAACCTAATTTGGTGAAATCTCAAATCTTATGATGCTTATAAATCTTAGAATAACTAATCGCTTTTGAATAAAAACTAACTCATAGCTGATCTACCACTGATATTTTAAGCCTATAAACCTCTTTATCTCTTAGAGCTGTTGGTGTATTTGGATAATCAAAGAGGTTTCACTTTTGGGTTAGCAGAGCTGCTCCCCAAAGACTACCCCACCAGAGCTCCCTGAACTTTAACAACATTTTTAAAGAAATTCTTAGAAATAATGTAATTTCAATTATGAGGGTTTTTTTTATTTTATGTTTTAATGTTAATGAGCAACATTTTATATCATGATTTTTTTTCCCTAGGTGACAAAGTCATCCCTCTCTTTCTGCCTCAATGCAGAGAATGCAACGCTTGCCGCAACCCAGAGGGCAACCTTTGCGTTAAGAGCGAGTAAATTTATAATTTCTACTCTGATGCATTTCAGTTGTTTTTTTGCTTATTTCATAATTGAATTAACTGTTATTTTAATAAATCAAATAGTGTGACTGGCCGTGGAGTCCTGGCTGATGGCACTACCAGATTTACGTGCAAGGGCAAACCTGTCTATCACTTCATGAACACAAGTACATTTACTGAATATACGGTGGTCGATGAAACTTCTGTTGCTAAGATTGATGATGCAGCTCCTCCTGAGAAAGTCTGTTTAATTGGCTGTGGATTCTCCACGGGGTATGGGGCTGCTGTTAGAACTGGCAAGGTAAGATAAAACGTATGAGTGAGTGAATGGAAAAGCAATTTATCATACATAAATTTTACCCAAATGAAAAGAAAATAAATAGCCCAGATTTCATGCATTAAGTAAATAAAGTTGGGGGCAGGAAGGGGAAGAAAATTACAGCCAAGAAAACTCTGTGGAGCAATTCTGCCCAGTAATACAAGGCCTCACCATTTGTTGGATTTGGCTTGACAACAACAATACTAGAGACATGGTGCAAATGTTTAAAAGATCCCTGGTGGTGCAATGTAAACAGCTGCTAACCAAAACACTGGAAGTTTGATATACGCTGAGATGTCACAGAAGAAAGACCTGACTCTATTTCTGAAAAATAATACATTGAAATCCTGTAGAACACCGTACTGCTCTGGTCACCGTAAGCGGGAATCAATTCAATAGTAACTGGATCTTTTGTGTGTGTGTTTTTTTCTTTGCTTAATATTTGCAATAAGGTGCAAGTTTCACTTTTTGACCCTTCCTCTAGTGCTTACAGGTACATGTCTCTCCATAGGTCACCCCTGGCTCCACTTGTGTTGTCTTTGGCCTGGGAGGAGTTGGCCTTTCAGTCATCATGGGTTGTAAGTCAGCTGGTGCATCCAGAATAATTGGGATTGACATCAATAAAGACAAATTTGAAAAGGCCATGAGTGTAGGAGCCACTGAGTGCATAAGCCCCAAAGACTACACTCAACCCATCAATGAGGTGCTGTCAGAAATGACTGGCAACAATGTGGAATACACTTTTGAAGTTATTGGTCGTCTTGAAACTATGGTAAGTGTCAATATTCTAGCTGTCAAAAAATTACCCAGGGTATTAAATATGAGTAAGAGGAAACTAATTTTCTATGGCCTTATTAGAAACTAACTGTGGAAATGCCTGCTATTTGGGCAAAATCTAGGGATTTCCAGTAGCATAGTGTGTAGGGATCTGTACTGTCAATACAATGGCTGAGCTTCTTTGGCAGTTCAAATCCACTAGCGCCTTCTCAGAAGAAAGATGGGAAATATACTTTTGTGCAATTTACAGCCTCTGAAAACCCACTGGAGGTTCAGCTATGAGTCAGTTCTGACATAATGGCAACCAGCAAGTGTGAGTGAGAAGCAAAAACTAAGTACCACAAAGTAATTTCACCTGAAAAGTCAATAGCTTAAGAGAAAATTTAAATACAAATTAAACATGTATCTCCATGTTATCTTCCTTGCTTGTGTATGTTTCTTGGAACTTCAGCAAAACCAAGCAGCTGTCATAGCCTAGCCTGTAGGCAGTTGCTCTGTGACCCCAAATGTGGTGGCTAACAGTTTGAAACCATCAGCTACTTTACGGTAGAAAGAGAGGTAATCTCCTGTCATGGGTCAGTTACTACTCAATAAAAAAGAGTTAAGAGGGTTTTTTGTTATTTTTGTTTGGGGTTTTGTTTGTTTTAGCAAACACGACATATATTTAGGAAAGATAAGAAGAACCAGGAAGAAAGGAACTATTCTAAACATGATAGACTCCTCCTACAAATTCCATAATCTAGTCAATTTCTCAGACTTTACACTTCAACTTGAGTTTTGTTTTTACCTCTCTGAACTCCCTTAGAATTATGTCATTGTGCTTAGGTAATTTCTGAGTCAAAGACAAATCTCTCCTTTTAAAACTCAGATTGATGCCCTTGCTTCCTGCCATTTAAACTATGGGACGAGTGTGGTGGTCGGTGCTCCTCCATCAGCCAAGATGCTCACCTATGATCCCATGTTGCTATTTACTGGGCGCACATGGAAAGGATGTGTTTTTGGAGGTAAGAAAGGCGAGCCTCTGAATCAGGGAATGGTGGCTGTAGCTCTGCATGTGCTTTTAGCAGATGAGAGAAGAATATTGTGTCATCATATCTCCAAGGATGAATCTGAATAAGAATTGATTGCAAAAATATAATTACTGATTAAACACCTTGGTATCTGTGTTTCATTGATTATACAAAGGTGTTTGACTGTGTGGATCATGACAAACTGTGGCTGACTCTGAGAAGAATGGGAAACTCAGAACACTTAATCATGCTAATGTGAAACCTATACATGCACCCAGCTAAAACTCAGTTCCCTTTCTTCTCAAGTGCACATGATACATTCTCCAGAACTGATCATGTATTAGGACACAAAGCAAGTTTCCGCAAATTAAAACCTTGAAATAGTTCAAAGTATTTGCTCAGACCACAATGCCATAAAACTAGAAATTAACCACAGAAGAGTAAATCTTACAAAACCACTTATGTGGAAACTAAATAACTCTAATAGAACATGATTGAGTTATAAAATAAATAATGACATAAAAAAAGTTCCTTGAAATAAATGATAATGGAAATACAACTTAACAAAACCTCTGGGACACAGCTAAGGCAGTTCTCAAGGCACAGTTCATAGCAAAAGACACACACATAAAAAAGGGAGAAAGAAGAAGAATTAATTAATTAAGTCAACGCCTTCAACAAATAGAAAAAAGATCAACACTCTAATCCTACAACCACAAGAAGAAAAGAAATTATAAGGATAAGAGCTGAAACAAGATAGAAAACAGAAAAACAGTTGAAATCATCAATAAGACC